GGAATGCCAAACTTTGATTGACAATCACGATCAAATTAAGCTCCTGAGTAATGCCAGGAATAACCTAAATACAACTCTCAAGGTGAGTGTGCTTGATTTTCACAAAAAAAAAAAGTTACCACTATTATTGTTTTGCGAACATAACGTTGAACTTGGAAAATTTTGCTCTGTGGTTTTCTCAGTTGTTAAACAGTTCCTGCTTGCTAAAATTCACACCAAATCTATCTTTTCTAGGATGTTGAGGGTATGATGTCAATTTCTGTTGAAGCTGCTGCGGCTCGGGAGTCTTTGAGTGATGATAAAGAACTTGTTAACACTTACGAGGTAGCTTGACTATCTTCTTTGCTATGGATTTTGAACTTTCCGACTGTTAATTTTTTAAGAAAATGCAAGTCTTGTGTAGGAAATAATTCGCTCATTTTATTTTTCCATAGAGATTAACAGCACTTGATGGGAAGCGGAGATTTGCCTTAGCAGCTGCTGGATCTCACAAAGAAGAGGTTGGGAGACTAAGGTTTGGATCTATCTCAGTTCTTTTCAGTTCGTGTTACTTGGCTATGAGTGAGAGTGAGACAAGCATAAATGCCTAGCATCAAGTCTTTTTGGGCAGAATTGGTACTTTACTTTATGTTTTTCTTACTATAGTTTCATTATGACACGATCCACATGTTCTAAAAATATGCTAAATGTCTTCAATATAAAAATGAATTTTAGGTTTCTATGTCATTGCTTAACTAAGCAGCTTAATGAACATCATATTGAGTTGTTCTTTTGATTATGCCTCTTACTAACTGATGGTAAATGTGCTCGACTATCTTGTATCTTCTTCACTTGGTTATGCATGCCCTTTTTTTTAAGAGTTGTTTCTGCTGGATCCCAGGGAGTATTTTGAAGACGTTGATAGAACATGGGAAACCTTTGAGAAGACACTATGGGGCCATGTTTCCAACTTTTATAAACTTTCTAAAGAAAGGTATCGAGTAGAATCAATTCTGCTATGCATTGGGTCTCTTAGATTCAATTTTATTGCTTATTTCTGCCTCATTGTTGTATGATGATTATTGCTTAGTGTAGAAAAAGTTAGGATATAATGTTTCAAGGAGGAAAGCAACTTGGATCAATGATCTCGCACGTTTGAAATCCAATGAAATAGGAATAACACAAGGAAAAGCACTTGCCATTCGTTGCTTCGACTCTTTAGTCTTCTAAGATATTGCATGTTATATTTTCTTATAATATATCACAAAAATCTTTATTTTCCACTTTACTTAATCATGGTCCCTTTTGTTGTTCTGCAGTCCACAAACTCTTGTTCGAGCTTTGAGGTATAACTCTCAACGCACTTATCATTCTTAGCTCGTCTTTGCTATGTATGATTACCCTTTTCGCTAATCAGTATCCTCGTTGCTAGCCAATGTGTTTCCGAACTCAAGATTCAAGAAAGACATGATGAACATATCATTTGGTGATTAGTATCAGAATCAGCTCAAACTGGTGTAATCAGTATCAGAAACTTTATTGTATTACCTTGACAACAGTTTGGATACAAGATAATTGTCCTTTATCAGAGGAACATGTAACATATATGCTCAGTAGTCACTATCATGGATTTATTGTCAAATTTGAAGTCTCTTGGATAGAGCATGATGCCCCTTACACAGGTTGAAAGTACTATTTTGTTTACAGCTGAGCTGGTTAACCAAGTCTCATACAATTTTCCATTGTTTGATCTGTCAAAGGGTGGTTGAGATGCAAGAAATTCTTGATCAACAACTTGCAGAAGAGGCAGCAGAGGCTGAGGGAGAAGGTGCGATGGCTTCTGTAGCAAATCCTCGCCGGCCGGGCAAGTGAGTCTTCTTAACTTTCTGTTTTTATTTCTTCTTGAATCGTTTGTGCTAGCAAGAAGTATTTCATTCACCGACATCATAGAGGAAAAGGTTTTACCTTAATAGCTTCGAAATTCCTGTTGCATGTCTGTAATCTAATTATATTTATGTTAAACAATATTCTAGATGAACCTGTAATAAGGTTTTTCTGTTGAACCTGTAACTTAAAAAAGCAGTTAATTGTCGTAAAGGCCCCATAATACTGGTATGATATGTATTGTGTGGACTGTAGAAAGTCTGCTACAACTTCAGCTTCATCAAAGAACCTTGCACACCAAAATCTGAAAGTCCAAGGAAAAGGTTACAAGGACAAATGCTATGAGCAAATTAGAAAGGCGGTTGAGGCTCGATTTAACAGGCTTTTAACAGTGGTAATGTCTTAATGAAGTTTACCATTTTATGATAACAATGTGAGTAATTTGTTTTCTTTGGAAGATTTCCTAACGCCGAATTTTGCATCAGCTTGTATTTGAAGATCTAAAAGCCGCTTTGGAGGAAGCTAGAATGGTTTGTGCAACTGATTCCTATAAGCTTATACGCCCTTCTCCTTTCCTCTTTGTGAAGTTAATTGAATTTTGATGTGTTCTGTTCTCTCATTGAACATTTTAAATATTTCCATGCATATTGTGTTGTTGAAAGAAAACCATACATCAGGTTTACATGAGGGTCGTATTGAGAATATTTAACTGTTCAGTGGATTTTATTTTTCTCTTAGGCAATTCAGAAGATTGTTTTAGTTGGCCTGATTTGATTCATAGTGAGAAGCATTATTATTTGGTTTCTGGAGATAATTGCTGATTATCTACTATGCTATTAGTTCATTCTAATCATCTGATGCTTTTGTATTAGATTTCTCCTGTGGCATAAACTTTAATCCCCAATGTTAACTCTGGTTTCTTCAGTGATTTCGCCTCAGCTGTTTAATTCAAATATTTGGTTTCTATTTGACATTCAGATCGGAGAGGAGCTTGGAGACATTTATGATTATGTGGCCCCTTGCTTTCCTCCAAGGTTGTTCACATGGAAACTTGCAGCCGAAACCTTGTCCTGCTAAGAAATAAATGTTTTTTCTTAGAAATTTCCTTAGTAATCTTCTCTGCTTGCAGATACGAGATATTCCAACTTATGGTGAACCTGTATACTGAGAGATTCATACAAATGCTCAGACTGCTCAGTGACAAAGCAAATGATTTGACCAATATAGAGATTTTAAAGGTGTGTAGACCATGATCCTTAGTTCTTTTATCACTACTCTGAGCTTTCACGTATTTGCATTCATTGCGCTGGCAAGCTGAGTTTTATGTTCAAGTATAAAAAATAAGTTTTTTTTTTTATCAAGCTTTACTTGGGGGTTAGTGGACTGGGACGACCTGTGAATTTCTGGAAGATATTTGTTGGTGCCACTGTTTTTGGCCTAAAAGATGTTTTCTGATTTTGCTTTCACGGGTTAAGACTTTATACTTCATCTGTATGCCTCACTCTTTTACTCCTTGTCTCAGCACCTCAAATAATTTCTCTTTCTCCTGTTTTTCACTTTAGGTAACAGGTTGGGTTGTGGAGTACCAAGAAAATCTGATTGGCCTTGGTGTCGATGAGTCACTAGCTCAAGTGTGTTCCGAGAGTGGTTCCATGGATCCTTTAATGAATGCATATGTTGAAAGAATGCAAGCTACAACAAAGGTGATGTGCATTTCGACAAACATTTTTCTACTAAGATTTTGAGGTGTTGTGCACCAGGCTGAAATTTGTCTAACTGTACTTGCCTCTCTTCTCCCTTTACAGAAGTGGTATATGAATATCCTCGAGGCAGATAAGGTGCAACCACCTAAGAAAACAGAAGAAGGAAAGTTATACACGCCAGCTGCTGTTGATTTGTTCAGGATTCTAGGGGAACAAGTGCAAATTGTCCGGGATAATAGCACTGATGTCATGTTATACAGGATTGCTTTGGCTATTATTCAGGTAAGTGAGCAATATCGTCGCAACAAATTTTTGTTCTCTTTCCACATTTTGCTTTCTGTTCTTACAGTCTGGGCGAATATCCTTTTTGCAGTTTTTCCTTGGAAATTATTATTTAATGGTAGAACACTCCATTTTCATCTCTTACTATTACCGACATGAATAGATGAATCTGATGATGTACTTTCGTATTCAAACCTTGTGCTCAACCTTTCCTACTTCAGTTTTTGCTTCACCTATTGTCTAACCTTTTTGTACCTTATATATATATATATATTGTAAGTTTTTAGAACGTATGGTTTATGCATCTTATACTTCATACATCCTGTTGGTTCCTTCAGGTTATGATTGATTTTCAAGCTGCTGAGAAGAAGAGACTTGAAGAACCTGCTTCTGATATTGGTTTGGAGCCTCTATGTGCAATGGTGTGTTAAGACTAGCATTTCCTTTCTTGTAAGTTCTCTGTGTGGCGATTTATGTATCAATTCTCGCTGTTAATGCTTTCTACAGATCAACAACAACCTTCGATGCTATGACCTGGCCATGGAGCTAAGTAACAGCACTTTAGAAGCTCTACCACAGAACTATTCGGAGCAGGTTATCCAGACTGTCATTTCTGATTTCTGACTCCTCTCAGTTTATTCATCTGTTCGGAACCATCTCGATTCGTCATTCATCATCCACCCCTATACACTGTACAGTTAAACTCTGTGCAAATCCCACTTTGCGTATCAGCCAGATATCCTTATTCCAATCCTGTCTTTTTTATCAGGTGAACTTTGAAGACACGTGCAAAGGTTTCTTAGAGGTTGCTAAGGTAGGTTTCCCCTACTATTGATTTATTTTGGAAGACAGATATTGTGTATGCATCTTCTGACCTGATATAGACGCCCAGTTGATTTGTCTCTCATATTACCGAACCTAGCATTAAACTCTAGATGCGGATATCTGACTAACGTTTTCAGTAAAACTCTAACCAAGATATTCTCCATATATCATCTGGCTTTGAGACCACAAATTTGCTTCATTTTGCAACCTAAAAGTTTCTTGAATTGATAGCTTATTGTTTAATGTATATGCTGGATTTTACAAATCTCTCCCCACTGGTCCCAATTGGTTATTTGATTGCAGGAAGCAGTGCATCAAACCGTTCGTGTTATCTTTGAGGATCCAGGAGTTCAGGAACTACTCGTCAAGCTTTACCATACTGGTATTTACCATGTTGTACGACAAATTTAAATAGCTTTGCCAATGCATGTAGTAAGGGTATTCGATGCTTTGTCACTTCATGGTCAAAATCATTTCCAGTGTCATTTGGTTTTTTAGAGCTTAAAACATAACATGGATCTGTATATTGGTCTTGATGTTGTAGTTTTGTTCCTCTTGATGCAATAACTTTGAATAAGTTATGCTCTGTTACTTATATCGTTATTCATTCAGAAACAGCACTATGCCGCTCTGCAATGATATATGTACTCGATAGACATGGTTGTTGGATTGTTTCCGTCGTCTAATGTTGATCTTAATCTCCTTGTTTACTTCAGAATGGTGTGAGGGACAGGTTACGGAGTATCTAGTCGCAACTTTTGGTGATTATTTCACAGATGTGAAAATGTAAGTTCTTTACTCTTTTAATGTAAAAGGAACTAGCGTCGTTTCAGCACAGGCTGTTTATGGGGATTTCCCCATTAAGAAAAATATAGGAAAAGGAATAATTTAGAATTAAATTTATTTGTAATTAACCCAAAAGAAAAAAAAAACTGATTTTATTTGTACTTTTTTGGGGGTACATGTTTATTACTCTGCTGATTTTATTTATTTATCAAGCGTTCACGCTTCCGCACCTGCTAGAACCAAAAGTGAAAAAGTATAAATATAATGTTATAGGATTTTGCAAAAGCAATGAGCATTAGAAACCAAAAGAAAAAGATGTTTACATGCACACCATATGTCCAAAGACCATATATTAGTTGTGGTTGGTAATGCAGGTATGTCGAAGAAAGATCATTTAGAAGATTTGTTGAAGCGTGTCTGGAAGAAACAGTGGTCGTTTATGTAGATCATCTCCTAACACAGGTCTTCCCACTATTCTCTGCACCCCCTTTCATAGTTGTCCATGTTGTCGCCCGAGATACCAAATGAACCTTGTGTGCAATTCTAGAAAAACTACATCAAGGAAGAAACAATCGAGCGGATGAGGTTGGATGAGGAGGTTCTCATGGATTTCTTTAGGGAGTATATAAGTGTATCTGTAAGTTAGCTTTCCACACTCTGCATCTTGATCCTCTGACCTGAACAGCTCAGATTTCATTGTAGTTGGCATACTGTGTGTATATGTATGTAAATACGGGATTGTTGTGATACAGAAAGTGGAGAGCAGAATTAGGATACTGAGCGATCTGAGGGAACTTGCATCAGCGGAGAGTTTGGATGCGTTTACGCTTGTGTATTCGAACATCTTGGAGCATCAGCCAGACTGCCCGGTAAAACTAAAAGCCTCCTTATCTTTGAGAGTTGAAATATTATGTGTTGTGATTAATTTATTGTTATATATGTTTCGGGTTGGGAATTTGTGAAGCCTGAGGTGGTAGAGAAGCTGGTTGGAGTACGAGAAGGAATACCAAGGAAAGACGCAAAGGAGGTAAGAAAATTGAAGGGGAAAATATTATGTAGATAGATTCAAAAATACCTTCCATTTGCTATTTTGACTTCAACACATACTTCTCCAAGTGTGACCTATGTGACCAGAAATAGTTTGGTCACATATTGATCTCATTGATTATAACGTTAAATTTATGGTGATCACACTAATTCATTATGTTCATCCTTTACCTATCTCACTAATCATTTGATAAAAATAATATAAATTACACGTTATGACCAATGGGATCAAAATGTGGTCAGATTATATTTCTGGTCAAATGGGTCACAGGGTTACCGATGGAGAAAGATATGTGTTGAAATCAAAATAACAAATGAAGGTTATTTTTGATAATGATCCTATGTAGAGATATGGATGGAATTGATGATATATATGGGTGTGGTAAACAGGTGGTGCAAGAGTGCAAAGAGATATACGAGAATTCGACGGTAGAAGGCAATCCTCCAAAGGCAGGTTTTGTATTTCCGAGGGTTAAGTGCTTATCTGCTTCCAAAGGCTCCCTCTGGCGAAAGCTCACTTAAATTTCTCCTCTTCGAGTCTTTTTTCATTTGTTGTATTCAGCCTCTGTTTGTTTAATAAGAGTCTGTCTAGTCGTTTTCAAAATCCAACTTTACATTTTGGGCATTAAATTTTGTAAATTCTGACGAAAATCATAAAACCAAGGGCCACCTGCATTTCTCTTTGGGCTTTATTCGGAAGCTGGATTTGAGGGTTTTGATGGATGGACGTGCTTCTTGGGTTTATTTTTTCCCAAGCGCGAAGAGGTATGTGATGTGATGTGATGCTCATCCTCCCTCTTTTGTTCATTCATTCACTCGAGTTCCTAGGAAGGGGTTTAATAGAGTTGGGCACGTATACTCGTAAATTTATCTATCAACAGGACAAGTAACGATAACTGTGGCATTGTGCTTCTGCACAGATTCGGTGATATGATCTTTGAATTCGAGTTTGAGTTTGGATTTCAACCTTTTCCGTGGGTAATTTGAACCGGAGGGGAGAAAAGAGAACAAGAGTCCAAGGGGTATATATGTGCCCACAAAAAGTAAATAAATATTAAAAATATATACATATGCACACATACGTAGGTAATTATATATATATATATGTAATACATTTTTATGTATGTGTATATATATATAAACATATACAAATACACATATATGTACACATACACAGGTAATTACATATATATGCAATATATATTTATGTATGTGTATAGCATGTACATATAAATATATGACATACATACATATATATATATATGTATATATTTTTAATTTTACTAATTTTATGTTTTACATATATATGCATATATTTGTGATATTTGTGGATAAAGCCTAAGAATTTAGCGAAATTGAATAATTTATGTATTAATATATCAAATTAATAATTAATATTTTTTTGATAATATGTGATTTGCCAAAAATTAGTATATTTTTGTGGTGATTTTATAACATTTATGAATTTTTATGGGATTAAAAAACACGGTTTTGTCATTACACGAGTTAGCGAACCATTTAGACTCAGTATTCGCTCTAATAGTATCTTTTTCTCATCTTATTAACGATAATATTTTTGTAACAGATAATAAATATGTTTTAGTTAAATTTTCACTCGACTGACCGGAGATAAATTATTAGTTTCGTGGAGTATTCGTGCCTGTAAATTCCATAAATCAATTTATGTTTATAAGATTCCATAATCCTTTTAGTAAAAAACATTCCATAATCCTATTATAAAAAATAAATAGGTAGAAATTACCATGACATCATGATTAGTGGTTTATTTCCAAAAAAATTGTGAAACAAAAACTCTAAATATACGAACAACGTAAATTGAAAAAATTAAATGTGCAAAAAATTTTAGAAACGGAAACAAAACTATTTTTTATAATACAAATTCAAATATAAAAAGGAAATTCTATACAGTTATGTGGTAAAAAATGAAAAACGAAAATTCACAAACAAATAAACCTTTTTATAAAACAAAGAAAAAAGCTTTCGGTCGTAAAAATATTAATTTCCATTTAATAATATATGATTAAGAATAAAGAACCAAAAGAGATCCAAAAGAGTTCCAGAAAATCTTCACACGCGCCCATTTTCCAAAATTGTCAAATTTTGACCATTTCCGTGGGTTATAACCCAGAGAAATCTGGCGCGGGTGAGAAACGCGCTACATGTGCGAGTGGATATGTTAGAGCTTTCACAGCAATGGTTAGTTTGACATGTCTTCGTGGGCCGAGATAACCTCAGCCCATAATAACTTAATAGGCCCAATATGAAGATGAGCCCAACGACGTTAATAGTTTTATAATATATATGTGTGGGTGTAAATTCCACAAAAGGATACAAGTAGGTGGGAGTTTCAGAAAAGAAAACGGTTCGGGTTCAAGACGGGAAAAGATCGGTTCAGTTTTTTCGGTTTTACAAAAATAGGTACCAATCGGTTTTTATATTATGTTCGGTTCGGTTCGGTTTTGGTATCGGTTCGATTCGGTTCCGGGTTTTATTAAAAAAAGACAGATTTCTTTTAAAAATATTCGGTTTTTCGGGATTTTTTAAAGTTCGGTTCGGTTCCGGAAAAATTCGATTCTCTAAAAATAATACCGTTCGGAAATTGAGAACGATTTGGGATCAAGAAAAGTACCGTTTTTTTTGTTCGGTTCAGTCCGTTTCCGAAGAATCGAACCGAAACGTCCACCCCTAAATACAAGGCACAGTTTAGACTCGACATTCACTCTGATACATCTTTCTCTTTCTTGGTCTTGTGAACGGTAAAATATTTTTATAACAGATAATAAATATGTTTCAGTTAAACTTTGAGCTCAACTAGCTGGAGATCAACTATTAGTTTCGTGGAAGATTCGTGCATCTGAATTCCATAAATCAATTTATGATTTATATGATTCAAAACCTTATTATAAAAATAAATAGGTAGAATACCATGTGGACATGACATGTGGTTTATATAAAAAAGGAAAATTTGGAAAAAAATCTAAATACATGAACAACGTAAGTTGAAAAAATAAAATGTGCAAAAAAATTGAGAAACGGAAACAAAACCAATTTTTATAGCCCATTAAAATATCAAAAAGGAAATTTTATACAGTAGTGTGATGAAAATTTGAAAAACAAAACTCACAAACAAATAAACCTTTTACACGACAAAGAAAAAATCTCAATTTCCATTTTAAAATATAACTAATAATATAATTATGATTACTAAGAGGAGAAAAAGAACAAAAATAAAAGTTAAAAAAAATAACCAAAAGGATCCAAGGAGAGTTCAGACAAATACCTTCCCACGCGCCGATTTTCCGAAATTGTCAAATTTCCGGCATTTCCATGGATTATAACCCAGAGAAATCGAGCGCGTGATCAAAACGCGCTACATGTGCGCGTGGATTTGTAGAGCCTTCGCAAACAATGGCTAGTTTGATATGCCTTTGTGGGCCGAGATGACCTGAGCCCATAATAACTGAAGCGGTTCAATATGACGATGAGTCCAATGACGTTAATAGTGTTTATCGATATATATATAATGTAATCTAAACATAAATTTTTTTTTTTGTAACCGGGTGGATTTGAACAAAGATATATAGGTATAGAAACAAATATATTTAGGTATAGAAAAAAAATCGACACACGAGCCTAACAAAAATAATTCCAAATCGCAATATAACTATATATATATATAATTGTCGTACACTTACCCTATCTTTATAAGATAAAAATGCGTTCTACGTACATTATAAGTATAAAATAAAACCTTGCATTTTCCTTATATTATAATTATAAAAATAAGGTCGGTGCAATTTTCGAAAAAGTATAAATACACCATCCTAAACGCTAAACTCTAGTATAAGTTCAATAAGACCCGAAAATACCAAATGGTTGTTTCATAATCGTTGTGTTCTAGGTGGATAGTTTTGGGGTTTAATATCACATAAGTTTTAGATTTTTTTATGGATTATTAGATTACTCTTTCTCTTGACGCAATTATCAGGCTTTTGATGATACGGTTTTCTGAAGTTGTAACATTTACTAAAATTTATGGAAAATAGAAAACAATATATTAAAAAAGATATATGTAAAGGGCAGATTAAGAAAGAAAAAAAACAAAGAGGGATTGTGAAAAGCATTAAAGGAAGAAGAAGGAGAAGGGAAGGGGCAAATTAAATGGGAAAGGACCGGAGGATGTGAAAAGAGCCGAGGATCTTGTGATGACACAACAACCTCCTCTTCATCATTCTTAAAAACCCCTTAGCCATGGGAGATATTATGAGATTATAAATACAACCACCTCCTCTCTCTCTCGATTCATCTATTCATGATATAATATCATTCATACAACATAGAAGAAATCAGTCAAAATGAAGTCGGGCTTCATCCTTGGACTTCTCCTCCTCCATTTCGTTGTCGCAGGGTACAGTTCGGGCATCCCAACAAATCCAGGTTAAGTATTATTAATTGGCCACTTGCCACGAGCGTGACATGTGCAGGACTTAAGTTTAATAATGATGCAGAGTCCAAGGAGGAGGGAGAAGCATATGGGAGGGAATCGACAATACCAGACTGCAGCCATGCGTGTGGGGGATGCGAGCCATGCAAGCTCGTCATGGTCAGCTTCAAGTGCTCGGCCGCAGAGTCATGCCCTGTCGTCTACAGATGCATGTGCCATGGCCACTACTTCCACGTCCCTTCCCAAGCCTGACCGGAATGTCGATTCTTCAAACAATTACAAGACCTTTCAAGCGTTTCTTCTCATGTATTTCTACCTCCCCTCGAATCGTATCAATTGAGAATGCGTTTATTTTGTTTTGTTAATAAACGGAAGGGATAGAGCTCGAACCCCTCTCGTTGGGGCTGGAAAAGGGCTTCTCCTTTGGTGGCCACATGTCAACAAAAAATACACATGGGGGAAGGGATCCCTAAACCAACAATCATCAAACATCCTACCCAACAAAATAAAAAGATGAGAGATCATCCAAGAGCCATCCTCACATCACTACATCCATCAAGTACGATTATATGTATATCAAAAGCTCTCGCAGCAGTACTAAATCTAATCCTAGGAGAAGAGTGAAATCCTACCCTCTTACCCGGTGAGAGAGAGAGACTAAAGGGTCAACGCTCATGTTCTTCAACCTGGCCGAAGTTCCAGTCTCTGACAAGGTCCCTTCTCACGGCACAGCTTCGGACAAGGCGTGGTGGGGCACCTGCGGGCTGTGGGGTTACTTTCGAGGTTGATGCTGCTTGAAGCAGTGTTTTCCTCGTCAGGCAGCTCCCTATCGCTGAGCATCTTCCATCGTTTTCTGAGCTGCTTGATACCGAATAGCTCCTAAACGAGTGGGATGGGCTCTCTACGCTGTGGCACACGAGGCATGCCAGACTCATTTTCTGTGATTCAGGAACAGGAACACCAATTGTTTTTCTCCTGTGTTTGTTTGGAAGTGCCAAAACTTTCAGCAACTCGTACAGTGACTAGTGTGAAAATAAGTAGGTCATATATAGATATAGCCTAAAGACGCAGTAAACCATATATTTTCTTTTCTCTCGTTGTTTATTGACTAATAGAGACTGAGGCTCTAGAGAAGTGAAATCGGAATCTGAAATTACATTCTTCGGAAGAAGAACCTAAAGGCACAGTTTAAGTGAAACAAGAACTGAAGGATCCATATGACCAAAGCAACAAGCAAGTCACGTAGACGGAAATCTTAGCAGAACAAACAGCAGTCAAAGTTAATTAAAGGGGGCGCATAGACCACAAGTTGGAGAAGGAAACAAATCAAAAGGTAAAATATTCCCGATGGATGCCTCCCCCACTATCAGTAATAGCTACTCACGAATCGATGTTTCTCAAACGTTGTCCAAATGTCAACAAAACCAGACTCCATTTTCCAGATCTAGACGTAATTGGAACAGAACGGAGTCACTACTTTTAGGATCAAGATGTCGAACAAGACTAGGAGTCTAGGAGATATGCCAAGAGACATTTTCAACCTACAAGAAACGGCCCAAACAGAACTTTGATGTCTCTTCTTAAAGCCCACCGCATTGCATCTAACTACTCTCTCATAGATTTTTTTTTCCACATTGCCAGAGATGGCTCCTTTTGCCCAAATTAGAAACCTCGCACGACCACAAACCCTAAAATTCTCAAAAATGCCGAAGCTATAAATCCAAGAGTCACCTAAAAGACAGTATCTAGACCTAGATCAAGATGAAATCGAAGAAATGGCGACCATGACGGAAAGAGATCAAAAGGTGTTGGGGCGAAGTAAACCCTAGATAATTGGATCTTAAAATCTCACAGGGGATATAGAGAATCAGAAGGGAACAAGAGGCAACATCGGATGAGAAAGGAACGGAGAATAGAAAGGGAAGGGAAAGAATGGAGATCTGAGAGAGGGAGAGGGAGAGGGAGAGGGACGAACCTTGGCGGCGATTCTCTAATTTGGAATAAAAAGGAGAAGCGTCAGTGGCGATGATTGCTTTCTAATTCTGTGCAGTTGCATCTCAGTAGCCGCTGGGCTTATATACTCTTAATGCGCGTCACTGCACGCGCTGCGCGCCTCCTCTCTTTCAATATGCTCCCGAGTCGCGATTGCAAACAAAACCTTCAACCCATTTGATTTCCATTTCTTTGTTTTCATATTTTTACATATTACAAGTCAAGACAGGAGAGAGAGAGAGAGAGAGAGAGAGTTAAATCTTGTATTCTTCGTCGACAAAGGGTCTATGTTTAAAATATGGTTAGATCGATATCTATATATTATTCTTCAAGTTGAGTGGAGCGGATTCAGAGCCAATAATAAAAACAAAGGCTCGATGGCTACGAGGAATTATGGTTTTGTATCTTTGCAACTAATAAGTGCGTTCCTAAATCATCCCACTCTTTTCACATGTAATTTAGAGGGGGGGAAACAAACCTGAACTCGATCGGCACAAGAACCCGGAGGGAGCAATAATTTATGAACCATGAACAAAAGATGGAAATAAACCAAACAAGAGTATACAACAATCATTGGAAGAGCATCTGCAAACTCGTATTGCTTCATGTAACGTAATAGAGATAACTCATCGATATCTCGGAATTTACACAACCCAACCAACCTTTACTCATTGTGCCGCTGCACTTGCAGCTTCTTACTTTTCAAAGCCACCCTGCTGCCTGATCAAACACAGACAAGCAACACTAAATACCATGCATTGAAAAGGAATAGTATCACAGAGTGCATCCGAAGTTCATACACATGGAAACCTGTTTTTATGAGCTCCTTCCAGAACGGGCTTCAGCGGTTAGATCTTCCAGTTCATCTACAATAGCTCTGTAGCAGAAGAAGTATTGATCCTAGAGGTAGAAAGGCATGAACAAAGTCAAGAAGACCAACAAAAATATGATGTGGCGACACAACGCACCAACTTCTCTAATAAAAAGGAAAGCAACGCTTATCATAAATGTCATCAAAATGATCTGCATCTTTAGGCAAAGAAAGCATAAGTTACCATGGTTTGAACCATTCCAATGCGTTGGCTCCTAAATATTGCTACAGTTTTACCAATGTCTGTAGCAGACATATCACCAGCGAGTATCCTCTGGATTGTATTATGTATCGCACAATACGTCCCAGTTCTTCCTATACCCGCACTGAAAAATGCAGAAATCTGTCATGACACGGAGGCATGCATAAGCATTCGGACGAATTGGCACACAGACATGGACACGCATACCTGCAGTGCACTACAATTGGACCAATACTAGGTGGTACTTGATACAGTCTTTTCAATATTTCGCGGACAGCCAAAGTGTCCCTGGGAACTCCATGATCAGGCCACTCAGGATACTGAATATGCAAAACCGATAAAGCTGGATCCTCAGACTGAAACATAATGTCAAACAGGTGGCTTATGTGAGTGTAGAATCAATAAAGTTCTCAGTGTACGGGCAAAATTATCACCCTTTGCAGGAAAAGTGATCTTGCGAACAGAAACCGGCACAAAGTGGCAGAGGATTCTTACATCCTTGTAGTTCACCTCCAGATTCCGCAATATTAAGGAAGTGTCGGTACTCTTTATCCATTTGGTCACAATACATAAGTTTCCAAATTCTCGAGGTCCATCTTCTGCTTGAAAATAGTCTCCGCACTTGACCGTCTATAAGAATGAACTAGGATCAGTAATTGCTAAGAGAAAATTAAACTTAATGAATCCAATCCCTGATACTTCTATTGACATCACTGGTTCCATTCCATAACAGTCAAGATATAAAGCTGACAATGAAGGAACTAGTGTTCGCAGAGAATGAAAACAATAACATGTTAACAACCCAATCTAGAAAATTTTCTCCAAACAAATGCTCAGGGGCTCCTTCCCTGTTAAGGATGTTTGCCGAGGATGCCACAGCTATGATTCCTTGTCGAACAAGTATAGGATTAACTGATTATTTATAATAAGTGTATGGCCTGGACAAGCTAATGTGTAGATCCCAGAGTGGACAATTCGGACCCTAATTAGCCTCCCCATTCAAGATTCTTTTTAAGGAAGAGCTCATCAACTACCAAATAAATTGTATATGGAATCTTCTGATCTTCTAAAGCACAAGAACACCTATGAAAACAACCAGCCCACGAGAAAAAAAATGAAGAAAACATTCAACAAATTTGCGTTCTGCACAACCAAATACCTTATAATTGTCGACCAGCCGAGTAAGCATCACAATGACAGGACAATGCTGTTGAACTACCATCTCCCAGAAGTCCTCCATCGTATGTGGTAGAGGACCTTGTGTGGCTATAAACTGAGAAATGCTCTCCGATGAAGATGCCTGCACGAAAGAACAAATATCGAAATGCCAAGTTTCAAAAACACCTCAAAGTCAAAGCTCCATCAGGAACCAGATCAAATCAAAGTATGCTATTAAAATATCTACCCTTATGAAGCTTGCATTGACATATCCCCTTGCAGATGACCGATAATCTTTGCATGGATTCAGAACAACCCTGTTATTGTCAACTAAACCAAAAGCAACAGAACATTGATGTATAGACAGATGAGAACCATAACTTATCTAGGACAAAGGAGGGAAACCAAAGGCGGAGAGATTACATGGCACAACATCTTTGTATCGGTTTTTGTCAAAATTGACACCGTTCATGGCCACAGTACAACTTTGCTGCATCTCCGATGACCGTATCCTATTAGCCTGAAACAACATTCAGGGTGATTACATCACAGTAACGCTTAACAACTCCTGAGGAGAACAATCCGACCGGCCGCTAGCTTAACGATAAGCGATCGCGAATAATATTTCAATTATCAGGATCAGGAAACTAATCAGATATGATCTTGGAACAGCCAAGGGGGAATGTTCTAGTCAAAATTCAATATGACCAAAAAAAAATCCGATTAGGAAATGGATCTGAACCTGCAACTGCGCGAACTCACGGGCGATAGACTCGGGATCTCGGAGCTTGTCGGTGAAGAACCTGAGAGCTTCGGAGCAGTGCTTGACCTGATCGGAAGTGAGGGAGAGTCTCGGAGGAGGCACATAGACGGAGGAGAAATCGAAGCGCCTCTCGGCAGAGGAAGGCGGCGGAAAGGCGTTGGGAGTGGCCATGGCCGATTTCCGGTGGAGCCGAGCGCGGCGGCTCGAGCTGAGGTTTCCCGTCGTGTTAGGCGGGGAGAATCGGCCTTCTTGGTATTGATCTGAAATGGGCTTTTGATTCGCTGTTGGGTTAATTGGCCTTCCTCAGCTGCGTTTTGTTTGTCTGATAATATGTTGTGTATTCCACTTTTCCCACTTGGCTTTGGCAATGGAGATGGCTTTTATTTTGAATTTTTGGTTTTAGTTTTTGGATTTTATAATATTTGAAAACTCAAAAAAACTAGCTTTTGGTTTCATTGATTTTTTCACTAAAATGGCTTTCCAAGTTTTTAGGAAAAGTAATACTATGGGCACCTTGTAAAATAAAATAAAATAAAAACCAACAAAAGAATGAAAGCATCATATTAAAATCATTAAGATATAAAACTAAATATGCGTCCTCAAAAATAAGAAGATAAAAAAATCATAAGATTTAGTAGCATAAATAAAAAACTAAAATATTTACCCTTCATAAAAAAAACTCATCCCAAGTTGTCGCATGTAAATCTAGTAGTAGACTTCAATAATGAATGTGCAAATTGCTCTACACACTAATTTAAAAGAAATGAAATTTCATGGTCTAATATAAAAGCGAATATAATCAATTAATATAAAATGTGGTCTGAGTTACCGGAAAGGGAAGAGAAACCCTCACAAAACCCTTCGCCTGGCCTCCTCTTCGACCAGAAAACCCTAGATTGCGCAGTTCCCGATATGAGATCTATCTTATCCCTTTCCCTATCTCGCAGCCACCTCCACTTCGGCCATAGAACCTTCTCCGCCGAAGCGGCCACCGCCGGCATCAAATGCCCCAGAGACAGAGGCCTCGACCACGCGGGGGCAAGGGAAAAGAACCTCAGACCGCTTCTCTGCATCAAGGACATCATCAGATACCACGCGGTGGCAAGGGAAAAGAACCTCAGACCGCTTCTCTGCATCAAGGACATCATCAGATCGGAGCCGGCGAAGTCTCTTCCGCTGTCGGTGATCACTGCTCAGAAGGAATTCCTGAGAGTCCCCGTCCGTCCGATCGAGTTCGTCAGGAGCTACCCCTCGGTTTTCATGGAGTTTCTCCCTGGAGGAATTGGCGTCCATCCTCACATCAAGCTCACTCCCGAGGCTCTCAATCTTGACGCCGATGAGCAATTGGTTTACACGAGCGAGTCTTACAAGCAGGAATTAGCTGATAGGCTCTTGAAATTGCTGATGATCTCCAGAACCAACAAAATCCCCTTGCAGATTCTCCATTCGTTGAAATGGAATCTAGGGTTGCCTCAGGATTTCGTTAAAAGCGTTGTGCCCGAGTTTCCTGATTATTTTAGGGTAATCGTTACGAAATCGTCCGGAGTTGATGGGGAGTTAGAATTGGTTTGTTGGAGCAACGAGCATGCTGTGTCAGTTCTGGAGAAGAAAGCTAAAACTCAAGGAAAAGGTGAGTATTCCAAAGGAATGCCGGTTTTGAGATGGACAAGAAGGTGAAGAAATTGGTGGAAGAGTGGCAGAAGCTGCCTTATATCTCTCCATATGAGAATGCGTCTCATTTATCTGCCAGTGGCGATGAGTCTGACAAGTGGGCGGCCGCTGTCTTGCACGAAATCCTGAACCTTTTTGTGTCAAAGAAAGCTGAGAGGGATACTATTTTGGCTCTCGGTGAGTTTCTGGGACTAAGGTCGAGGTTCAAGAGAGTTATTCATGACCATCCCGGTATCTTTTACATGTCAAGTAAGATAAGAACTTACACCGTGGTCCTGAGAGATGCTTACAAGAGGGGAATGCTGATTGAGAGCAATCAAGTGGTGGCAATGCGGAATCGGTACATAAAATTCATGAACAAGGCTAAGGAAGAACATTCCAGCAGCAAGAGAGAAGACAAGGTGAGAGGAGAAGTTAGTGACAGTGGTGCAAAGGATGAGAGAGAATTTTCGGATTCCGAGGTCGAGGATGAGCGTGAAGAAAATGTTGATGACGATTCTGATGATGAAGAAAAGGTTCAAAACCAGACTCCGAAGGATGTCCATAGAAACTCGGGTGGGAGAGATGGTAGGAGGAGTTCTGGCAGGCACGCGGGTTCACGAGAGAGGCCGCAGTCAAGGCGGCGTCACAAAGTCAAGATATTGACGGAGAAAAGGACTCGGGTGTAGTGAAGGCTGAGATCGATCATCTGGTGTTTAGCGGCATTTTCATAGGTCAGTTTCTTCTTCTCCTGTGTAGCTAATTTCATAAGTTCTCTTTTTGATTTTTCAGCAAAGGTCATGCTTTTGGGTCTAGTGTTGAGCTCATTGTGTTGACCTTATTATGTCTGATTACCTGGGTACATAAGACTGCTAGTGTAGAGTTATCTGGTGAAGATGAATCGATGGTTTCTTGTTCTGGAGATGGAGATGCTTTCGTTCACGGTTGCTTATCGGTGTTGTTCTCGTCATATCAGCAAATACCAATACAATGAGTTTCCGTTTCTTGCAGAGGATCTCGGCTCTGGAGCATGTAAGAGAGACTTGTCCAAGAATAGGGTTTGGCGAAATTCACAAACTTGATAAGAGTTTGTCTCTCCAGACGTGAAGAAGAAGAAGATGCTGTTGGGCAACAAATGAAGAGAGCACAGCTAACGTTGGACGTGACCTTGATCTTGAAATGGGACAATAATGTAATACCGGTTTCATATAAAGTTAAAAATTAGAATTTTTTGGCCCACGCCTGTACAACTTAACTGTTGCTCCGCTCGATGGATTTGCACACCGGTTTCATGTAAACTATGGCAAGTTTCATAGATTGAACTCAAACAAGGGATCTATGGAATGGGATTATATTGTAGTTGGGTCGAAGTGCGGTCTTGATTGTTTAGGCAAAAGGGGTGTATGTATGAGGGGAGGTCACCTTTATGTTGGGACCGAATCTTTGTGATTTTGTTTTGTATAATTTACCCATTCGATTATAAAAATGCCTTTTTTGTTGCAAGTTCATCCGAGGTGTTTAGCTTACTATGGCAAATACGTTTTCTTTTTACCCTTTTTCACTTCCATTGCCGTTTATTGCAGAAACCCCATCACCCATTTTTGTTTCCTTCTGAGATTTACAATCTCTGTCGGAAAATGTTTCACTGATCACGTTGACAATAGAGAGAAGAAAATCCCAAGTATTCATTTCTTAAAAACAAAAACCTCGTTGTTTTTTAGGTTAAATCGCAATCCCACAGAAATTAAAATCCAGACCCACGCCACCCAAAACAAAACCCATCACTGTCGCGGGGAAGAAAAATACCAAAACGCCCCTCAAAACTCAAAAGTCTATTATTTATTACAAGATGTCATCGTCGTCACAGTTACTAGCTTCTCGAGACAACAAAAACGAGCCTTCATGACTCTCCACGTCGACATGTCTCAACTCGAGGCTCGTAACCTTCATAGCCCTCACGGCCTCCCCTTCCCAGTCCGTCCGAACCAACACCGCATACAATATGGACACCACGCACGCTGCCTGCGCCGACAACAGCCCGAACCACAGTCCACTGAACCCTATCTTCAGCCAGAAGGCTAGCCCCACCGCCACGGGTGTCCCCACGAAGTAGAACGAGCCCAAGTTCACGTGGGCCCCAACCGCAGGCCGGGCAGTTCCCCTCAGGATCCCACAGCCAGTGGTCTGAGGGCAGTTGCCGAGCTCGCACAGGCCGAGAATGGGCATGACCGAAGCCACTAAGGCCTTGAGCGGCTCCCCCCCCCTCTCTCTCAGTACCACCGTCCACACCACGTTCACTCCTCCTATCACGAACGCACATCCCAACGCCACATTCGCCGCTAGCCTCGCCTTGTACGGCCTCCCTGCTCCTAGTTCGTTCCCCACCTTCCATTTTATCACATGATTTTATTGTTGATTAGGGTAATTAATTGCGGATTTGAAATAATAATAATAAAAAAACAATGCGAAAACATCTTATATATTTGACATTGGATATTGCAGATTCTGAATTCTAAAAAAAAAAAAAGCTATAAGAGAAGGGAGCTAGTTGTCCTAGTGGGTTGTAGTTTCAGTTAGTTTTGTAGTTCGAAGATCACACACGCCAACTAGTCAGCCAAGGGAAGACCACTTGACTACTTGTGTCTCCTATCACTTTATTTTTTATTTTTTATTTTTATTTTGATTTGTCCAACCACATTGCATGTGTGACCTCCACGAAAGTTGATGCAATCTTCTAACGAGGCCATCACATTACACGTTTTCCCATATCCCTTCCTATAATTAATTTTAAATTTGCAAAATAATGCAACAAAATTCTAATCCAATTAAGGCCTACCCTATTTATGTTATGATTCCAAAAAGAGAGTACGTTTCAATTTTCATTAGGAAGACTAATCAAGGTTTCTATAAACTTAATCAATACGAGGGAAAACCCCAAATCATTCGGGATATTTTTCCAAACATGTTTCCAAAGAATCGACCAATTAGGAGCGGACTGCTCCAATTTATTTATTTTTTCTAAATGTAATAAAATAGGTTTTATAAATAAAAAAACTTTTTTCAGTGTTTTGGGTAATGGGGTTGAGACAGGCTCACAGCAGTTAGCATAGTGGAGCGGGGAACACGCAGTGAAGTGAAAGAGGCGCATGCAGAGAGAGAGAGAGTACCCGAGCGGAGACGCAGCCGGCGAGAGCCATCGGAACGGTATACATGAGACTGGTCGTCTGAATCAATATACCGGTGGCAGCCACCGCCAGCTTGGGCTTATCCAGATACCCACCCATGACCGTCACGATCTCATACCACCACCACTCCAAGCATATCCCCAAGCAGCTCGGCACCGCCATCTTCATCAACGGCCCTATCCCCTCCCCCACCGCCTCCACCCTCTCCGGCCTACTCCTCCACCTCCCGCTTCCCCACACGTACCCCACCATCAGCCCCACCATTATCAGATTCGTCATCACCGCCGCCACTGCCACCCCCGGCACCCCCCATCTCAGCACCATCACCAGCCAGTAGTTGAGCGGCACGTGGAACGCTACGGCCGCCAGTGTGCACCACATCATCGGCTTCGTCCCCTGCTGCGACCGGAGGAAGACCCTCAGAGGTTGGAGCAGAGTGTTTGTTAGGAGGTCGGGGAGCGAGTAGATGCAATACTCTGCGGCCGTGCCCGTGATGTCTGGGTCCTGACCCATGAACAGCATGATTGGGCCGAGGTTGAGCCACAGCAGGCTGATGGGCACGGCTGCGATCAGTAGGATCACGATCATTCGGTGGAGAGAGAGCGAGAGGAGGTCCCAGTTCTTGCTCCCGTAGGCTTGACTGCAGACAGGCTCGAGCCCCGACGCCAATCCGACGAGAACAGAGTAGCCGGTGATGTTGGTGAAGCCGATTGACAGTGCGCCTCCGGCGAGCTCCAGGCTGCCAAGACGGGCGCGGCGCGTAGATACACCAGACAGTTCATCGCCGTGATGGGCAGGACCATGGCCCAGAGCTCCCTCAGCTCCTCCAAAACCTAAGGAAACAGAGCGATATATATATATACTTGGAAATCAACATATACGTACATGTAACCCAAAAATTACATGTGTGTGTGACTGCTACCTGGGGAGGAGAAGGGTGTTTATGGGAAGAGAAATTATCCGATGGGTCTTTATCCGCCATGGCAACGACACAGAGGAATCTGAGATACAATCGAACAGTACCAAACTGGTGAGCAGAGAGGCTTGAGGCCGGGAAAGTCGGAGAGAGGAAGATCAAAACTTTGGGTTCGGGGAAAAAGTTTCGATCTTTAAGGGCGAATACGGAGGAGATGGCGAGAAACAGAGAAAGGAAACCCAGGAAAATTGAAAACCCAAGAAAATAAATAGCAGAAAAGGAACTGCTCCGTTGTCTCCTGAAAATGAAAGGAGGATGGAAGCAATAAATAGGGACAAATCACTTTGTTTTAGTAATATTATCCATAAAAATATATTCGATTTCTTCTTGTAAGTTCTTTAATATTTTTATGTATATATTATTATGTTTATGTATCTGTGTAGATATAATTGAATCCTGCCAAAATGGACTACAGATTATACAAACGTTCTCACCCTTTTTTTTTCATATGCACAAACGTTGTGCAGTAGGTCTAGTTTTACACCATATTTCTTAATTAATACAATTTTAACCCACTGACTAATGTTACTAATTAAACAATTGAAAATTTACAAACGTAGAAATACAAAGCGGGGGTCAAATGGCGAGCCACTGAGACACATTTATGTCGTGTAATTAAAGACAGTAAATTCCAGATGGGATGTGTGTTTTTATTTATATGTAATAAAATCATTTTGATGTCAATATTAACGGTGCTTTATGAGGAAAAAATCAGGGGAAAGCTGTTTTTTTTTCTTTTCTGCTGCATGATGGCCAACCAAGTGACATGCTCATGCTCATGCTCCATGTGCAGTTTAAAACAATATCTGTAATTCTGTGTATATATATACACACGCATTCAGTTTATCTTTTTATACGTAATACTAATATATACATATATAGATATTGATATGGTAGCTCAAAATAATTAATCCAATGCAATAAATATGATTTCATGGACGAGGAAAAAATAGTGAGCTTTCGCCCGTCTTACCACTGCGAAAATGCAACCAAATTCATTTACTCGTAACAACAAGAGTTATTATATACCTTGGAAGGAAGGCAAATAAAATACATTATGAGGACTCTACTCCAAGTGACGGTCTACGAAATATGGAGGGAAAGGAACAACCGCATATTCCATGAGAAGAGGAGAACGGTGGAACATACACGGTGGAAAGTTGATCGAACAGTCCGAAACATTTTATTATCTATCAAGCGGAAACTCCCGGATGATAGAGAGTCGAAACTTACAACTTGGTATTACTTGACGCGAGAGATTCAAAAATAATCTAGCGTGACTTTATCTTGGATATTCCCACTTTCTCATGGGTTCCATAATCTTTTGTAAGGAAACAATTGATGTTTTTGAAACTCTTTCGGTATATAATATAAATCACCTTAAAACCAACAAAAAAAAAACAAGAGTTATTATATATGCGCACACACACAAACATGTTAGAAATTGTCAATTAGAAACAAATATAATTCGATTTTGTTTGTAACTAATTATTTTGAACAAAATATTTTCAAGATGTAAACACGTTGTGTAAATATCTAAGGAATATAAATCATTTAATTCAATTACGTTGCTATTTTTTTTATTATAGATCAACGTAAGAAAAATAATAATAAGGCCATAATGCTATGAAATTACCATTATTATGTGGAAAATAAATAAGAGTTCAATCGATAGAATTATGAACTGATTTGTTACTACCACTACAAAAAAACCTGCATATAGCGACGGAAATTTCCGTCGCACCGAAAATTGCGACGGAATGTGACGATTTTACGACAGAACGTGAAAAAAAATTATCCGTCGCAAACAGTCGCAAAATCCGTCGCAATTTGCTATGGTTTGCGACGGATAATTCTGTCACAACAAAGAAATAGATGATTTGCGACGGAAAATAAAAATTACAACGGATTGCGACAGAATATTCCGTCGCAATGTATTTGGTTTCGGTTTTCGACGAAATTTTTTGAATTTTGGGCGCGTAAATAAATTTCATTTTGTGACGGATTGCGACGGAAAATTCCGTCGCAAAACGCAATATAAAACCACGAGTCGTCTTCTTCATCAGATTCAAAGATTTTCGGAAAAATAAAAATAAAAATCGCCATTTTTTTCTAAATCTCTCCAAAGATCACCAAATTTCTCCCATAAGGTAATATATATGTATTTATGTATATATATATGTGTGTGTTTGATGTGTTTGTGTGTGTTTATGTATGTGTATGTGTGTGTAAGTGAATGTGTATATATATGTGTGAATGTGTATGTGTGTGTTTATATATGTGTGTAAGTGAATGTGTATGTATATGTGAATGTGTATGTGTGTGTTTATATGAATGTGTATGTGTATATATATATGTGAATGTGAATATGTATGTGTATGTATATGTGATTGTATGTGTATATGAATATGTGTATATGTGTGTGTTTATATGTATGTGTATGTGTTTGTGAAATGTGTATGTGTATGAATATTTATGTATGTGTATATATGTGTATATGTGTATATGTGTGAATGTGTATGTGTGTTTGTGTATATGAAAATATGTGTATATATATGTATGTATATGTATGTATATTTGTATGTATGTAATGTATGTGTATGTGTGTTTGTGTATATGAAAATATGTGTATATATATGTATGTATATGTATGTATATTTGTATGTATGTAATGCATGTGTATGAATGTATGTGTATGTGAAAATGTATATATGTATGTGTATATATAGTATTTAATTTTTTTATATTTTTTTAAAATTTTTTAAAACATTTGCGACGGAATGTGACGGAAAAAAATCCGTCGCAAATTGCGACGGAATTATCCGTCACTTTCCGTCGCAAAACGCAGATTTTTTCCGTCGCAAAAATGCGACGGATTAACGACCGTTATACGTTTGCGACAGCGCTATACCGACGGAAATAAATCTATCGCATTCCGTCGCAAATTTCTAATTGCGACGGATTTCCTTTATATTTGCGACGGATTTTTCCGTCGGTATATAACTATTTTCTTGTAGGGTACATAACCTTCTCTTCTCCTCTTGGAGTATGATAAGAAATTAAGAATAAAGCATTATAAAACCAAATCACTTGCTTTACGGAATAACATATCATATATGCAACCAATACGAAGATTACGAAACTACAAACGGATATTAAATTTATTGCAGGAGTTAATTGGTATACCAATTATAGTTTTTTTTTTTTCAGTTCGGTTCAGTAATCAATTATAATTCATGTAAACAGTAGAATATAAGATTTGAATATTCCGTATATCGTAATTATAACTAATATTTAAACAATTGGTCCATGAATACTAAACATGTATTCACATGCCTTCAAATAACAATTGATCCATGGGATCGGCCGACCCCTTTTACAATGGTTTCAGATTCATGAAAGGGTTGCATGTTTAGAATTTGTATTGATCCCATGAATACCATGGGATAGAACATCTTTTTTTTTATAATGGTTTCAGTTTCATCTTTTAATTATCGTTATAGTGTATGTTTAAAATTAATTTGATTTCTTATGACTTTCATGTTTCCACGGTTGATTTAATGAAATTTAGGTGCGATAATTGGTGGGCACCGATAGAGAACTTTTTCATTTATTTAGTATGAGAAGAGCTTTTATCGATCACGGGTTAGGGTTTAGGGTTAGCACATGAGTCTCTTTTGTGTGGTACGACAGAAATTTAAAATATTAATTTTCATGGAGTTAGATGAGATATCATATCATCAAACAATGTTTGAAGATTTAGAAAGCAAAACCTGGTAGGTAATATATATTTAATTGATTATATTTTCTGTGTGCGGAATTGTAGATCTACCTCCATTGATTAATTTCCTAAACGGGTAACAATAATACCAAATGATTTATTGGTAATCACCAATTCAATTTGCTTGGGATTTTCAATAGAATAAACTTTACATATTGTCATTAGAATTTAGAATCAGAGGATAGACCTGCAAATTGATATTAGGCTAATTATATTATCAAATAAAGATTCATCTATTTTTCAGTATGTTGTTTTTATAGTAAGATTAGAGACACGAATGAATACGGGTGTGAATTTAAGAGGAGAGACTTGGCACGTGCGAGCAGAGGGACAACACGTGCGCAGCCGCCTGGCAAATAAGTGAGATTCTGTTAAAAGTCGCATTAAATCAGGTATTAGGGGATAGGCCACATTTAATGTTAGAAGTTGGGACACCAAAAAAAGCACTGATTGAGACAGCCCATATTTATTTATTTATTTATACACTACTACTGCTGTCTACTATTATTATTATTATTATTATTATTATTATTATTATTATTATTATTATTATTATTATTGAGTCTAGAAAACTTAATTTAACTTCCAATATATTTATTCCTACAGTACCATTTCTGTCTAGATCTCATCGAGCACTAGAAAAATATAGAGATATATAGGAATTTATCAAGATATATATATACACAACCAACCAAAAAAATATCACATAATATAGATTTTGAATGGGGATGAGTTTTATTTTGGGTTTTTAGTTTTAGTTTTTGGATTTTGGTTTTTAGTTTTTAGTTTTTGGCTTTTGGATTCTATAATATTTGAAAACTAAAAAAAAGTAGCTTTTGATTTTTCTTTGATTTTTCCACTAAAATGGTTTTCCAAGTTTTTAGAAAAAATAATTTTGCAAAAACTTGAATGATAATTTTTTTGGTTTTTAGATTCTAAAAACTCTAAAAAACTTGAATGATAATCAATGTCTATCTGGTTTGCTATTAATCTGATACATGTATTGGATGCTAACACTAAAATTTCCGTTGTTACGGGAATATAGTTTGTTATTAATTTTTATTAAGAAAACATATCAATGCAATAAAATATATAAGGCGATAGATTTTATATAAAATAATAGATTACATGTTACACATTTTTGTCAACAATTTACTAATTAAAAGTACCTATACTTATATCATTCGCCGTTGAATCGAGAAAAATTCGAATTTATTGATAGATTTTCGATTCAACATAATTTCAGATAAAATATGCAGCAAAATTTTGATATCGTACAAGTACGTAAATACCGACCACTAGAGGAGGAGAGAAATGCTGGGGGAACACTAGGATGAATTTCAGGACGATTTTAATTTTATATTAAAAAAAAAAAAGTGAGGAGAGAAATGAAATGACGATGCATGCGTAAGAAAGTGACTGTTCCAATTACATGATATTTCTT